GCCGGTCTGGCCGGTCTGGCCGGTTTGGCCGGTTTGGTTCGTCTGGCACGTCAAACTGAACGAGGCCATGATCCGTCCGGCCGGTTGCGAGGCTGCCTCGGCGCTGCCGATCGGCTGATCCAAGTGACGCGCCATCGCGTTCATCAGCACCGTCTGTTCGGGACGGCGTTGCTCCGCGTCGACACGTCCGAACGTGTTCACATGTCGACTGCGCAACAGCGGCCCAGTGTACGTCGTCTTCTTCAGCTGACCGCGCAGCAACGTTGCATAACTCTGCTCCGGCCCATTCGCCAGACTGGCCACCGTGTTTGTCGTCGCCATGCCGACCGGTTGCGTGGACGGCGATGTGGCCGAGATTGAGGCGCGGTTGGTACCGCCGAAGGTGAGGACGCTGGCGCGTGTGGCGCCGCGGACTTGCAGCAGAGCCTGCAATCGTTGCATGGCAGCGCGAAACTCGAGGTCCCCTTTGACGCAGGCCACGTCGGCGGCGCTGGTACCGGTTGCCGCGGCAACGGAAGCTTCATTGGCCGCGGCCGCGGCCTGCTCAAACATGCGCACCGAGTCGGGCATGCTGCCGGGCCCGAAGCGCTGGCCCGTGACGACGGTCGCCTGTCCGCGGACGAGCTGCAAGTCGGCCGGCAACAGGTCGGCTTGACGACCCATGCTCTTCATGTCGGCCGTCCAGACGACGTGGACGCCTTGTTCGTGTGCATCGACGCAGTCGGACTCGGAGACGGCGTAGCGCATCCGCGAATCGGGCGCTCGGCTGGTACAGTCGGTGTCGGCCATCGAGTTGGCCGTGCCCACGGCCGGGTTCACGCTGGTACTGCGGTTGCGCTCTCGCGTCTCGCTGCCTCCCTCCACCGGCAACGTGTTCATCCACTCTTCCGTCGTCTCGTCTGTCACATCTCGCTCTCTCTCCCTCTCCCTCTCCCTCTCCCCTTTCGTCATGTCGCCGTCCAACTCGTCCAACTCGTCCAACGCCGCCGCAATGCTCGACCAAGAGCGTCAAGCGTGGCGCCGTCTCAACGTCGACTCGGTCAGATTGCGCGGCGCCGCTTTCAAACGGCCAATCGCGCTGCCGCCAAAAGCCTCCTTTTGCTCGTCGCTCGTCGCTCGTCGCTCGACTCCCTTTGCTCCCCTCGGCCGGATCGATGCGGCCCGTGACGCTCGTCCCATTTGCACCATTCGCCCGCGGTCACATGCCACCGACTCACCGTTTGCCACTCTTGCGCCCATCGGCCCGCGGTCCCTCTTCTCCCACGACATGTCCACGCTCAGCATCCGCTGGCTCATCGCCAAGGAGCCGCCACAACCGGCCAAGATCGCATGGACCAACACCAAGTACATGCCGCCGTCGCCGCGGCGATGGTCTCGACGGCCCGATTGGCCCGTCGCCTCGCTCCGCATGCACGAAGTGGCTCGTCTGAGCGGCCTTCTCGCCGAACGTCAACGCACCGGCCTCGGACAAAAAACACTCACCCTTCCGCTGCTCACCGCGATGCCAACGTCGACGCCAACGCCAACGCCAACGCCAACGGCGA